TTCACAGAGAAAAGATACAAAATTGTATGATATTGAAGTCACGGAGGTTGACAAACCCAACAAGAGACTGAAAATTCACTACATTGGCTACAGTACACACTTCGATGAGTGGAGACCCTTCGGGGTTCTGTCCTCGTGTACCGGTTCACAAGAGCCAATACAAAAGACCAAACAATACACAATAGCTAACCGATAACTCCTAAACAAAGAAAGAACAATGGTAATTCCCTTGTGAACCGGTACACCAGGACAGAACCCCCTTCGGGGACGGTGAAGCATCTGAATATTTTCCTTCGAAATTGTATAGATTAGTAGGCTGCAACAAAAATTTATTGGACGACGTTTAGGGTAAAAACAGCAATCTAACCTGAAAAAAATGTATTTATTCCGACTCTTTCGGAAAATAACTTTACAAATCTTACTTGTTTATCTCGTAAGTAAACGATGGTGAAGCGCTTTCCGAGCTACCCGATTCTTCTCCCACTGCTTTCACGCTTATAAAACAGGAAACGAGCAAAAGGAGGAAGGTGTGGCTGTTTTGACTAGCCATTTGACGAGGTTCAATCTGCTCCTTGTTCGACAATTTACATATCAAAACAAAGGAAATTTGTTCCTCTCTTTGATTTTGGCGGTACATTTTCAATTTGCGCTTGCGTAAGAGAGAAATCGCCCAAGACTCCTTGCTCGGTCTTGTTTTGACCACGAACGCCTTCTTAATTTTGACGGACCCGCTCGGGAAAAGGTGAAAATGACGAGGGAAAAACTTTACTTTGTAGTACGAAAATACACAAAATGGAAAGCCATGATATTATAGTTCAATATTTCGGTGGTACATTGTTAACTTTTTATACAGAGAGTCGGCAAGATGATATAACATCCAAAAATCGCACTCGATTTGAGTGGGCCGATGAAGTGGGCGTGGTCACGAAATTCAGTAAGAGACTATTTGTACCTCGTGAGTTTGATATGGGATGTCGATTCGTTTAAAGTTTTGGTATTGGTCTTGGCACCCCAATCAATAAGGACCTCTGCCATGAATTTGGGATTAGGCAAGCGGATATGAAGTGGGGTCGCTCTAACACAGTCTTTAGCCTCAGCCATTGCCTTGTTTAGCATGAGATTGAGTGCGATTTCCCAGTATCCAAACCTTGTTGCCAAATGAAGAGGCGTGTATCCACAATGGCATTTATCTTTTTCATATTCCTTTAATTCGGAGTGACTCAAAAGCGATGGCAAAAAAAATGAAAGTTGACACTTTTTGAACTGTTGAAAAGCTGAGTGTATATCTGTCTGATCTTCTTTAAGCAGGATGCTCACTATTTTTGTGTTGTTTCTTGGTACAGCTTCGTGTAAAGGTGTCCTTCCTGAATAATCCTGACATGCAAGCGCCCTCTTGTCCCTCGAAATGAGCTCTCTAACCACCTCACTATGGCTATTAGATATTGCCGTGTGGAGCGCAGTTTCACAATAAATTAAATGTCTGTCATCGAAAAACTCAAATAACGAAATGGTAGAATACAGTTGCATGTTACCTAGTATATCTCTACAATCAATTCCAAGTCCGGCTATACTCTGTAATCGGATACTAGAAGACTTCAACCAGTAAAAGGAGCCGTCATGCACGAGTCGTTAACTCCGACATCCAAAAGATACTTTACAACATCTAACCAGTTCTTTTGAGCTGCGTGGTGAAGGGCGGTTTGATCTGCAGTTTCACCTGCCTCGTGTAATGCCTTTACCACTTCCAAATGTCCTTTCTCAGCGGCTAACTGAAGTGCCGTTAAGTTAACATCGTTAACCGTAGAGAGAAATGCCCCGTTCTCTAATAGGAAGTTAACAACCTTAAGATGGCCTACATGAGCTGCAGCGTGAAGCATAGTGGCGCTCGTAAATTTCGATTTCGATTCCAAGACGAAATTGGGAATGGCACAAACATTTTCGAGACTCAGTGACTTAAGCGATTTTGTCTTCAAATTAACATTTGGCCCTCTCTTTATCAAGAGCGATAAATTTTCTACAAGCCCGTGTTCAGCAGCTAAAAATGCAGGTGTTTTCCCATAAACATCGGAGAAGTCTAGGTAAATTAAATGAGGTAATAACAGTTCCAATACGTCTGTGTTATTTATTGTAACTGCAAGGTGCAATAACGTCCTATTGCTTTCAGGATTCGATGAATTGACAACCTGAGAAGGAAACTTGAGAGATTGTTCTACGTATGCCTCCTTCCAACCACCAGAAGCGATGTGTTGCGCTAAAGGAAGACCGTATTTTAATAATGCAGGCTTACCTCCATCGGCAATACATTTAAAGTAAAAATCACAAAGTTCTTCGTGTCCTTTTCTTCTACTTACGTAAAATTGCCCATTCCTGCCATTGTCGCTTGTAAGCCACTCGGTTACAGACAAGTGATAAAGTGTTACTGTATCATTCACTCCATATCTCAGAAAATGATCGAGCTCCTTCATGATATTTTGAAAATCATGGACTTGTTTCAGGTTTGCTTCCTGTAATCTAAGAACGTCAAAAATTTCTTTTGGCGTGAGTGGCTGCAAAGTGGCCACGAGTGATTCTAAGATCCGTCGGACAGGTTGGAAATGTTCCTCTCCATGGTACAATCTTTGGAAGTAATTGTAATACAAATCTTTTAATGTTTCAGGCAATGCATGCGGGTCATGTTTCATATTTCTTGAAGCTTCCCAGTGACGGATCATTTCTTTAACAAACAGGAAATTTCCCTGGCTCTTGCTTAACAAAAGAGAAATCAACCTGGTTGTATTTTCTAAGCTTGCATCTCCAAACCAAGCTTTAACGCGGTGGATGAAAGGACCATCTTGATAAAATCGAGTAGTCAAAAACAGTTCGATATCTGCAGTGTTTCGAGTGTCTTCAGGATCAATGATTATTTTCTTAATGCTCCTCAGATTAAATGAAATGGTTGATTCATTACGAGATGTCACCACAAGCCTCAGCCACAATGGTAAACGGGGAAGTTTGTTGTTGAGCAAATATACGATACTTAGACCAAATTTAGTTTGTATGAGGCATTCGTCCAGAGCATCAATCACTAAATACCAATTTTCTTTAGGTACATTTGTTAGGCTTTTCAAGGATGACAAAGCTGCTTGCTCAAAACAACTCACTGGATCTTGATTGTTTACACAGTCAGTATGCAGTGAACGCAGAATGTACGAACTGTTGGAGATTGCAGTGTTATTTTCTTTAAGTTGGGGATCTGGGCACAAGAATATCATATTATTTAGTTTTATTCACTCCCTGCCATCATCGACGGCGATCTAATGCGATAAATTTGCATACCGCTTTCGCTTTCGGCCCTAAGCAGTTTCAGCCCGGATATGCTGAGTCCTGATCAGTATTCACCCTGAGAAATCTATAGCTGTCCCAGAGTAGTACTTCAGACTCAAGGTATCCTTCCTTCGTATGATAATAGTCCTCTACATTTGCCTTTCATCGTCTTTATAATATTATTTCAAGTTGTCAATGAGTGCAGGTGAAGTTAGAATAATGGGTAATAGGTAAAAGTCTGCGTCTCGCAATTTGCAGAACCTCATAAGCTAGGTGAGTTGGTAAAACCAGGCGGCGGAAACACTCGTGAAATATGATTCAAAAGGCTCTTACTTAGTTTATGAAGTAGCTCTTACAATTATAATTAGACCTTTTAATTGTAATTATGTAGCTAATACTGCTGCAAACGTGCAAAGCGAAAGGACTGCCGCAGCAATGGGTGCATACCGATGCTAAGCTTTCGGATTAGTTATTATACAAAGAGGCCTTCCACATTAAGAGCCATTAACCATCACTCAACAATGGATTAAAATCCAGCAGAGAACTCTGCCTGTTCTCTTGAGTGTACCTTTTGTAACTATTTAAGCTCCTAATTTTGTATTTATTTTCAGTCTGATGATGGTATAGTTTATACCGAAATATAACTGTCACTTAACATCTTGGTTTTCTGTTCATTTGTTGTCAAAATTTAAAGACACAATGAATCTACCCGGTCTATCGTTCATCTTTTATGTTCTCAGATTATCATCTGGTTCTGGGTTATGAATATAAGTAGTGTTTGCTTTCTTCGGTTAACATGCGAAATAGAAAACAGTCCCTCTTACTCCTTGGACTCTTTAATTATTCACCAACCGTGGAGACGCTATATTTCAAAGCATTCTGCAACGGAAAAATTATTAGGCAAGCAAACAAAACTAAAAGGATAGATAACTGAACCGAATATATGAGCACTTTCCAAACCATTTTTTATTGGGTATAAGTGTAGTTTTCCACATTAATGCACCGTTAATAAGTGGTCTCTGACGGAAGTAAACTCGTAAGGCGACGATTTAGGGCGGCTTTGCTTGACGAGTCAAGAGACCGTCAACGATGCTCTTTTCGGCTAAAAACTAAGGAGGGTCGGCGAAGAACTGCGCTGATTCTTTTGAATTATCTTATAGCCCGTAATTTTAATTCAAGCTCACTAAAAACTGTTTAAAAACGTACTCATGACATGAAAATATGCATGAAATAATTAAAGGCACAACAGAGCAGATTAGAATATTAGCGTGATGTTTCTTGTTGTCTTTCTTTGCGTAGTCATATACCGTCTTCAGATTTATAGAGGAACCTGTGTGCAGTGGATGTAAATGTCAAGATCCTAAGGTTGTGCCTTACTCAGAAATTTAACAATTTCAAGGGTAACGATGTGCGAGGCGATAGACAATTCGAACTCAGCTTGCAGAATGATTAACACACGTTTAGTCACAGTTCAAGGTTCGCGAGTTACACTGATAACGACGTTGATGACAGAAGGAAAAATAATTACGGCAGCAAAGTTTGTAGTCGCGACAAAGAGTAGAACGAAGTAATGCAGTGTAACTTAGCGCTGTCTAACGTAGTGCAGGTTCGAGCTGAAAACGATAATTGCATACATTTCAGCTAAGATACAGTATTGGCTACGTAGTCACGTTACAGACAACTAATCGGTGCTTAACAACACAAAAGGACGATTCAGAAAACTGATAGACAACATTGGTTTCGTATGATGCACGATCCTCGCAGTAGAGAGCGCTATTTATGTAATAGCGAAAATCAGACCTGAAAAAAATCAGGCCTGTACGGGATTCGAACCACTGACCTCTGCGATACTAGTGCAGTGCTCTACCAATTGAGCTAACAAGCCAACTGGGAACAGGCCGTTAAGTTGATTCGTAATAAACCCGTGATGATAAATCAGATACGCATCATACGTATCTAATACAGCAGTTCAAAATATATGAACTTCATATATACATTGTAACATTGGTTTCGTAGCGTGACAACACCTCAACCTTAAAAAAGACCAGTCATTTAGCAATAATGACAGTTAAAGTACTTAAGGTAAAAGAAACTTACTTTGGTGACGACTCGCACAGATGATAGCAGAAAGTATCGCTAATAGTAGTCAAATAATAGCCTGTAGCCTATAACTGATTGATCCTCCGATCGTAGCGGTTGCGGAATAACTAAGTAATACGGTTATTACGAGTTGCCTTTTAAAGCACGCGCCTACGCGATTGTATCTGGGGCGTTACTTGAAAAGTGTAACCCTACATTTTTGAAGTGTTATTTCATTTTCTAGAACACGAAATTAACTTTGAGAAAACATGAATCTGCAAATTCCTAATTAATGCCTAGTATATTTGAGCACGTTTAATTGAAACTAGAGCTATCGATTGTTACTGGAAAATGTCGTAAAAGCAGGGGGCGTTAAAACTAACTGTTGACACCTTTCCTATCTAGGGGAGGCGAAAAAAGCACGCTTTTACTGGACGCATTCGAGGCAAAAGAGTATGAAAACAGTCGAATATATTGCTAAGGTAGAGATAGACGCAGTAACATTCCACGGAGCCATGCTCGTCATTACTGTGAATTAGAACATAAATCAGACTGACACCTTGTAAATCGCGCGGCATGATAAAAAGTAAAACTAGTTCCTCTGCTAGGTACAAATTTCATACAGCGGAAATTAATTACAACTTCAAAGAAATTCCTTAAGATTTAGTAACGAAGAGATAGCATGATCATAGAGTTAGAGGAACCATCGTCAGGTTAATCACCGACAACTGCTTTCGGGATCTTGCGCCTGTGCGTTATTGTGACGGTGGCTTCTTGGTTAGTGGAGTGCGACTGATAAACATCTTTGTTATCTGTTAATTGATATACGGTTGGATTGAATCATGAGGATAGAGTGGCTTAGGCCACGTCCCAACATTCATAATTTTCTATGAATCAAGCAGATTTGGGTCTTGACTTTTGGAAAGCAATGTGATTTTCCTTATTTGGGGATCTGGCGGGAGAATATCTCACTATTTAGTTTTATTCACTCCCTGCCATGATCGACTGCGGTCGAAAGCGAAAAATTTGCCTATCACTTTCGCTTTAGGCCCTAAGCAGTTTCAGCGCAGATTTGCTGAGCTACGAGCCGTCTTTACTCTGAGAAATCTAGCTGTCCCATGGCAAGCGGTACCTGATTCCATAACTTCGGAGCAATTGCCGAAAAAAAACCTCTCCGGCTCCGTAAGTAGCTGTTGTAGTCTCAGGGATAACTAGAAGGTTGGAATCACTAGAACGAAGAGAACGACAGGGAGTGTAATGATGTAAGAGTTCATTAACATACACCGGGGCAAGGCCATCAAGAGATTTGCACGTAATCGAAAGTAACTTAAAAACTATTCTGTCATTAACAAGAAGCCAGTGGAAATTTTTTAAAACAGAAGTTATGTCATCATTCTTCTTCATGCATACAGCTAATTTTGCCCCCGGTATTCTGCAATCTCTGAAGTTTCTCGGATTCACGGGAGGGAATTCCATGGAGCAAAGTATTGCAATAATCCAATTTCGATAAAACCAAGGCAGATTCACTCTGACGAAGGGCTAACGCTCGAAACGTCAGCTTTTTTATTCGTTACGGTGGCCAATTTACAATTTCAACTTAGTTGATGTAACCGAATTACTATAATTGTATTTGTTTTCGTTTCCTTACGATTTCGCTTCCTTTTGAATGTCTTTGCCCTTTTTTATCTTGTAAATCGTAATTTTCCCTTTCAGTTTTCACCGCATGTGTACAATATTTACATTAGTTGATGATCTCATTAAATGCTGTTGAGTCAGCTTGTGTTGTTGATTTCTGTGCTGTTATTGACACTTCCCAAACTTCAATACACAACACCCATAGGCGCGTGAACTTTTGGACCCTTTGGTAAAACCGGTGAAAAATAAATTAACTTGTTTTTACTATTTCTGGAGAGGGGTGACTGAGCATTTAGTCAAAAAATCAAAAAACGATTTAGATAAAAATTTTGGAAAAATGATTTTTCAAGATTTGGCCGTTACTGATGCTGGCAAAACATGTCTGACTTCTGAAGCCCTGTCTCGAATACTTTACGTGGTGCAATCCCTTGTCGGCTTGTCGTTTCCTATCCCGATGTCATTTATTTCTTCTTTTTATTTCCCCAAAAATCAAGAGGAAAAAATTTCTAACTTATTTTTTTCGTCTTTACTAAGTAGTTCTATTCCCCAAGCCTGAGAATTTTTGTTGCACATCGTTCAGATCGAATTTTCACGAAAAATGAAGGGTCTGATACCTAAGTGACTGCCATTGCATTTTAATATTTGGCATTCCTTATCTTTGATACTGAAAAAGAGATGAAGCCACCGATGTAATAAAAGGTGGCATCACACTCCATGAATGTTACAATCATTACCGTTACTATAATAAAAATTTTATAGAGGATCAAAAGAATAAGAAATGAGATCACTGTGAAATTTTCTTTCCGTGCCCAGTCTCGTTACCAGTGTCCCACAGACACTGGAAATGATTTGCATTTCATTTCCGTGGTTCATGGCTTCAAATGCTTATTGAGTCTAAATGTTATTAATTCATAGGAGGTGAATAACGTTTTTGGCTATTTCTGAAGATCTGGTGGTTGATTGGCCACCGTAACGATTACAAAAGCTGACGTTTCGAGCCTTAGCCCTTCGTCGGAGCGAATAGAGGAATTGTGGGTTTTGTGTGCTTTTAAAGGCAGAAAATGGAGCTACGTTATTGGTGGAAACATGGCAATTTAAGGTAAGTTTTGCTTAATACTTTCTGACCTCTAGAAGAACGTGAACTCGACTTCGATGCAAGCAGTGTGAATTCTTCAGGGCCAGAGCAAAGTGAAGTAAACTCTGCGCTATTACTCACAGAAGATCAACCTTTATT